ACCGTCACCCACCTTGAGACGTGAGTTTTAAGTCTCTATTCTACAACAGCAGCGAAACCCTTCAAACAGAATGCGTTACTGCTTTGCGGCAAAATTGGGCAGGGCGGTCGTGCTAACCCGTGCAGGCATCACGAGACGTCTTACCAGTTAAATTATGGCTTCACCGTGATCCATTAGTTTCGGCTTATAGTGAACGATAAGTAAAGTTACGTACACATTAATATTCTGTTGATAGTACACACATGTCTGAGCGAGGTTTGATCGCAACACGCGTTAGTTAAAAGCTATTTTTATTAGCATAGATAAACGCGCCAACTGCTTGTTTAATGACAGCCGGTATCCCTAATGCATTGAGATATTAAGTTGATATCTCCAGTGAATTAAACAAACAGAATACCGAAATACGAATAAATCTTTTTAACAGAGATACACCTTTAAAACAAGAACGGATTATTATTGTTCGCCAAAACAAATGTAAGTGGTTAATTTGAATGTTATGTTTCAATTCCCATGATAGCTATCTAAGCGGACAAAGGTGTATTTTAGTCATCGAAGGGTCAAGGACGATGTCAACGCATTATGCCACGTTATGAATATAGTAGATACGTGTAAAGAAAAAACCCTTTATTATTTAAAACTCATTCATTTTTAAAAAAGGATTTTTCCCTTTGTGTCTTTCAGCGAAGTCTGTGATTCAGTAAAAAGTAAGATCAGTTTGTTTAAAATATTAATTTTATTAGATTAAGGGCTTTAAATGTTGTTTTCTTATTGAACATAATATAACAGAAAACTCAGTCAAGCATTTTATTGTTAATTCATTCTGAAGTACCCAATATCATTATATAATTGATTGATTAAGTTAATCAATACCAACGCATTGCATTAAAAACTGATTGCACATATTGTCGTACGAAAATAGTTCTTAAGCGTAATTTTCAATCAGAACACATTTGACTTTTATCTAACAGTTTAGGTTTTACGTTATCTATTTATCGATATGCATACGTATGTAATACGCAATCGTATCGCTCATACTACAGTTGCCTAATCACTCTACAGCTCATGTGTTTTCTATTTAGTTATATCATGCCGCTCAATAGATTGTAACCTTTTATTCTTTTTGTCTATATAAATCGTTAAAAATGTATTACGTTATAAGGCTAAAAACCTAAACTAAACCAGCTACTTGTTCTATATTAGAATGAATAGTCTAGTTATTTGATTAATATCATGACACCGTAATTTAAATAGAGCCAAATTGTAAATGGATATTTAATGTATTTAGATAAGTATTTTATCACAGATCCCATCTACACATCAAATTCAGTAATACTTCTATTCATAATAATCATATTACGAAAACAACACGTATTAATTAATAGGTACACAACTGAAATAAGTATACTTGAGTGCGAGTAGGTACTCGGCATGTTGAATATTTCTCTTTGTTTAGAATACGGGAAACGCACAGTTACAACCCAAAGAGATTACTTTCGTTTATTACGGACATTTTCTATCGCTCGCACGCCTACAGAAAATAACGTCGCGGTTAACTATGAATTAGTGCCAGTACGAACAATGTTTAGAGATGATTGACCGCGTGGCACTATGAATATGTTAATTGCAAATTAATGGGATGGGACGTTCAGGCGTTTTGTCGACCTAACGCCATCTATTAACCGGATCAGTAAAATAAATTTTAAAACAGCGACATCTAGCGATCTAGTAATGAATCATTTGAGGTGTTGTAATTTGTAATTTGAAATCAACAAACATTGCACAGCAAAGTAAATAGATGTCGCTATTTTCAATTTTTTAAATGATAGAAATCTGTAATCTGAAACCATTGAAAAAAAATCAATAACTTTGAATTAAAATTAATTTTATTCGAGAACTATGAATTGACGTTATTAATCGTAAATGCAGTGGTTAGTCTTTTTTTTTATTGCCCTTGTAGGAAGACGAGCATGTGTGGTTACCGTCGCCCATGGACGTCAGTAATGCAAGAGGCAGAGCCAAGCCGCTGTCTACCGTTAAGAATCCTCTAAGGTCCTCAGAACGTTTGAATAGAGATGTGACATAGAGTATTAGATTAATATTAATTTTTAATCTAACCTTATAAATCGGAGTGTTTACTACGTTGAATTGTTTTAGACTCAACAATTTTATTATACTTTTTAAAATAAAAATAAACGGATATTCCCCCATAGACACAGCCTACTGAGTTTCTGGCAGGATCTTCTCAGTGGGTCGCGTTTCCGATCCGGTGATAGATTCCGCGAAGCAGTGCTCTTGCTAGGGCCATTGTTAGCAACACCCCCGGTTTGAGCCTCGTGAGCTCATCTACTAACTCCAAATCTAGAATAGCCCCTCGAGGTTACTAGAATAGACAGGGAAAAAACGGATATTCCTATTATCAATTGTCTTTAAACAAAAAGGAGGAGATTTTCAATTCAGGTTGAATAAGTTTTTAGGTCCATTCATTCTAGACCCATGCAGAAATCTACCCTCGTGACTCGATTACAATTTGAGCTAATTCCAACACCCGGTACTACTACGTAGGATTTAAATGTGTGGAAATGAATCATTAATAATGCAAATAATGTATTTAATTTTATTAGTACGAAATTTGTTTACGGGATATTATAAAAATTTATGGAAACTAATAGTATCACACTATAAAGAATGGTGTATAATACAACGTAATGTGAAGCATTTGCATTCGACCCTCTCAATAATTGATCCTCAAAGTAGGGTGCGCCGCTTGGGAGGGTTGCTCCCTAATAATATAAGTATACAGAGCGTTTCTGAACATTGTATAGAATAGTTTCTAAAGCTAACATGACAATTAATTAGTGTGATTTTTGAAAATGATTTAATTGACTCTATTAAAACTAATTATATAGTTTGATAACGCCTTTGTTATTTTCGTTTAATTATTTTAGATATTTATTTTTGTAATACTTTTTAAATTTCGTTAAGATGGACGAATAAGGTGTTGTTTATGATTATTTTTTTATATTGTGCCAACTGCCTGTTATCGTGATAGATATAGAGAGACAGATAGATATAGATAGGAAAGATAAGATAAGTCGAAGCTCCAAGTAGAATAGGCTAACAGAACTAAAGATGCTATTATTAAACAAACAGACAAGAACAAATATACAAAGAAAACCCTAGATAAGTATTTCTGACTAAATATAAACAAATTAAAGAGTATTTTGAATGTGATTTGAATATAATGAATATGTGTCAATCACAATTCGAAACAACAAGTCTTGTGTTAGTACCTTATGGTAATTTTCTACCCCAGTCCAGGGTATCTAATGTCACTAGTCTAAATCCAATACTGTCCGTAACCACTTAACAAAAAGTAAGCCGTGAGTTCGGTCATACATCTAAGCTATATTGGCTGAACGTGAAGTTTGTTAACTTTAGTAACCAGTAAGACCGAACTATAAATCAAATTCGTTTATAATTATTTGAAACTATCATCGAAAACTGAAACATACGCACCATCTATAGTAGGTGTTCTAGCTTGTAGTTAGTAGTATAGTACCTATAGATACGGCATCGAAACCGACCTCATGGAAAGTTTTTTTTCGTATGTATGCTGATAGCCTTGAGAGGCTATATCAGCGTTACCCTAGCGTGTAGGTGAGCTCTCGAGGCTCGAACCGGAGATGTTGCTAACACTGGCCCTAGCAACAGCAGTGCTTCGCAGAATCCAACACCGGATCGGAAACGCGGCCCACTGAGAAGATTCGGTGAGGAACTCTGAGTGTGCTGTGTCTGTGGGTTAATCAAGTGAAGTAGTCAGCGAGGGCAGAACGCAATCCAAATAGTCTAAGAGACAGTGACTGGCTATTTACGGTACTTAGAAAAATACTATTTTCCATTTACTCTCTTCTAACTACCGCATTCAAAACAGGTCCTGCTAGTCTAACGAAGGCTTCCCTTAGTTCAAAGTGTTCGCAGTGACTTGGCCAATTGAATATTTTTATTATTCTCAATGAAAGTGTGCAACGTTAGACAGATATAATAGTTGTGTAACTATGGTAGATACTTTTGAGAGTTACAAAAATAGGCCCCGTTTTAACAAAACTGATGCTTGAATTGGCTCTTAACAATAATGCCATTATTGTTATTTATTGTTAAATGTAAAAGAAACTGTGTTAACCCGAGTAAAAACAGAATTTAGCCGAATCACCGCCGAAGCACCGCCGCACGGCATTTTAATCGCCGCGAAGCGCCGCCGCACTATGACTGTGACGATTTGAATTTTTTTATGGTCGCCGTAGCACCGCCGCAACATAGCCGCGACTGCTTACGTAAAAGTGGGTTCGTTGCTCTACCGCCGAAACACCGCTGCACGGCATTTTAATCGTCGAAGCACCACCGCACCATAGCCGCGACTGTTTAATAAGAGTGGGTTCGCTGCACTACCGCCGCACCACCGCTGCACTACAGCAGTGAAATATCATTCTCATATACATACATATGTGTGTGTATGAATGTAAACGTTTTTTACGTCCAGTGTTTATTAATTTAAGTGCTTGCAAAATTTTAATTACCAACGAATTAATTTTATAATTTTTTTCATTATTTTGTCTTGACAATCAGTATATTAGTAGAGAACGTTATAAAATTAATTATTAATATATTATAAATTAGCCTTTTTTTTAATTAGTGTGCAGCGGTGCTTCAGCTGTGGTGCGGCGATCTAAAATAAAAAAATTCGAAACGTTCGGCTACGCTTCGGCTGTGGTGCGGCGGTGCTGGGAGATTTCTTTTGAAGCGTGCGGCGGAATTTTCCGCCAAATGGCGGTGGTGCGGTGGCGGTTCACCGTTGTGGTGCGGACACCGTGCAGCGGTGGTTCGGCGATAGACTTGAAAATTTTTTTTTATCAATAAATTATAATTTCATTTTTACTCGGGAATGAGAAAATGAGGATATTAGACGAAACATGTAGCGTCCGACGCCAATAACAAGACCAATATTTTTAAATGTCTATTTATTGATTCAATTTGAACTTCGAACTCACAATAAATGCAGCAGAAGGAAAACAAAAAAAAATTCAAACAATTATTATACAATGATTAATAATTATAATTTAAGTACATGACAATAGTGACCGGGAAAAGTACAGAAATTAGGTTATTAAATCTTCAAACATCGATAAGTGGATTAATATTACATCAAGATCAATCAAAAGTTCATTATCTTCTATACCGACGTGAGATAGCTGATTTTGAGCAAAAGTTTTGTTAAAAAAATAAATGGTCGGCTTGTTATTATTGATATTAAAAATACAGAGTGGATATTTGATGTGGAATAAACTTACAAATATAGTGAGTTTCTTATTTAAATGATGTACGATAAGCTACGGGCTGACGTTTGATTACGCCTTTCTTGTTACGATTACACCATCGCCATCTGTTGTCCGGGTAATGAAGCTGAAAAACTTCAAATTCGTACCAAAAAAGGAACAATTGACAACGCCGTGACTGATATGACTTCAATTTGTATTAACGTCACTACGCCCGGAAATAAATAGAAATATTATATAGTGTATGTATATAAATTAGCTTATGTAACATATAAGCTTAAATGTATATAATACTGAGGCAGAGTTACATCTTAACTACGACGTAACATTAATTGTGGTACGTGGAATTAGACACGAGCGCAAGCGCTTACTTCATACGGACGAATGCGATATATAATAATATTTGCTTTTATATCTATGTATCTGACGCTAAAACATCTATATAATGTATTAATTTTTGTACATCTACTTATATAGTAATCGTACATACACTCACTAAGCTTAAAGGTTCTGCCGAGATCGCGTACCCAAAAGGTGTCGTAATATCATCCCCGATCGAACGCCGCGGCCATGACTAGATAATGACGTCACTTCATGATTATTGCGCTACCGGCAATGACCATAAACGAGTCGAAACTCCGAAACACCTATTGAGTACACGGCGTATCCGAACGAGAACTGCATATAATCCCGCAGGCGAACGAAGGTGGACTAATAGAAATTTAAGCCGGAAACAATAATAAAAACGCATAATTAACTTCGCACGTACAAATTTATTAGAGACATTGGAATGTTTTAAGCGAAAATTGGAATAGATTTTGGGGGACGTTCGCCTGCGTCGGCTTTGCCCTGACTAAGTACACAATAATTATTAAAATATATTTTCGCATTTATTACATAAAATTCACGTTTAGATCTACCTAAGTTATTAAAGGAAACGAAAGCCGGCATTAGGGGTAGTTAATAAATGTATAAATTTGTACGCGGAGCCTATATACACAGCGTACCATGGACGTTCATTCCACTCCTCCGAGTAATAATGACCTATGTATTTAGTACTACACAAGCAAAGCCGAATGATGCGTTAAACTTAGATCGAGAAACCGTGTTAATTATCTGATTGTAAGATGAATTAGGAATAATACACTAAAGAAAACATCGGTTATTATTACTGGAGTAGCGGTCTCGAAAAAACTTAATTTAAAAAACTCTTCTACGGTGACACTTATGTACCCTAAAACACTAGACAAAAAACTTAGATCTAAACCCTTATTAAATAAACATAATAATTACTTTTGGTGCAAAAAAAATAACAAAATAAATACAATACGTTTTGATAGCGAATTACGCACACGTATCATTAAAGACTAATCACACAAGCTTTTTAAATTAAATTTGTAACAAACGCAGAGATTTCCCTCCAGGCACGTCTGTAGTACATGCGCTGACATAGATATTATAAATATTTTGTCAATGGAAACAAACTGTATACAGCTCCTACTAAGGACTGTGTAACACACATCATTTACGATTTAGAAATAGTCAATTTCTTTTCTCAGCATGGCTCTACGAGGATTCGGATATGGCCAAGATTGATTGGTTATATATGTTGAAAGCTTTTTTTATTCTGTTTATAATTCTATTACGTATGCTATCTGATATTCGATTGTGTTTTTCGTGGAGCTATGCAAAGAATAAAATAGACTAGCCTGCACATCAGGACTAGAAGCGGCCGGGACTAACATGACCGTTGCAGGGTTAAAACGGGCCTGGCAGGGAAGATGCTATTGACAGCCGCTGTCACAGATCGGAACACAGAACCTGATTTTCTTAACCTGTACTATGATGGAGCTCTTTTAACTTCCACTTCCAATTATTTTCCGTAAAACCGATTTGCTTCGACGGCTGTCAACTGCTTTGGGAGAGTCGAGGTGGATTTACTCCTTGACCTCGAAGTATTTGTAGGTGGGGTTCTCGTAGCCATTGATCTGCATGTTGGCTACGTGTCGTTCCTCTGGAGTCGGAGCCACCACACCGGTCTGCTCCACCTAAGGATAAGAAATATAAGGAATTTCAGACGCTACCAAAAATAGTACATTATGCACCAAAGGGAGAAAAGTTGGGAATTTCCTACCGCGTATAAAATTTAATTAAAATTTATTTTCTATTTTTTAGTAGCATTTTCTATAGAAGAGTATTTTGTTAGTTTTTTAAACTATTATTTATTTTATTAACATCCATCACATCCAGTAGTATACCTGCACGAAGCCTTGTGCTTGAGGAGCGCGGTCGCGGCGACGAGCGACGGCGAGGGCGACGCACGCAGCGGCCGCCAGCGCCGCGCCGCCCACACACAGTGCCGGGTACAAGGCACCCGCCCCGCCAGACCCACCGGCGCCACCTGTGCCACGCACTGTGTAACCCTGCAACACAGACCGCATTTACCGCATCTGACAGCCCACTGAGTTTCTCGCCGGATCTTCTCAGTAGGTCGCGTTTCCGATCCGGTGGTAGATTCTGCGAAGCATGGCTGTTGCTAGGGTTCGTGTTAGCAACGTCGTTAGGTTTGAGCCCCGTGAGCTCACCTACTAGTTAAGGTTACGCTGAAATAGCCTCTCAAGGCTATCTTAGGTAGGAAAAAAAAGCATCTGACATGCTGACCTCCTCTTCCTATTGCAAATCAATAAAGGGCAGGATAACGATAATACTATCAATTAGTGTTGAACCCTGCATCTTGAAGTGGGCATAGGCATTTGCGTTGCAAGACAACTTCGGTAATCGTTTACCATAAGACATCAAGCGTTAGCCGCAACTGAAATAATTTTACATTCTAAGAACTATGTACTAATATTTCTTTATCACTCAGTAGTTATACAATAATCTTGACCGTATTTTATAACTAATTTCACCTTTAGGAGAGACGGCTTTCTGAAAATTGTATTTAAGATCCATCGCTGCCTAAATAACCATATACACGGGCTATCAGAATGAGACACACAACCTAAACAAACACACATTCGCTCATCATGTTTGGAGATAAGCGAGAATATTAAAATAAAAAAATAAACGTTCCATATTCGACGGTACTAATCCCAACCCTAACCTGTTCTAAGAGCACTGTACAGTAAAAAATTAGATCCGCCTTGGACTGTGCTCAGTGCGAGTATTTTAATGTTCTCGATAGCGTAAAAGTTAACTCAAATTTGTATGCAGTTGGAACGTTTACTTACGTTTGCCACCAGGGGCGCTGTTCGAACTGCATACAAATTTGAGCTAACTTTTACGCTATCGAGAACGTTAAAATAAAAAAAGTGTGTGTGTCCGCTCCGACGCACGACTGGAGTTTACTGGATATAAAAAATTAAACGAAACAATACGAGAAATAGTTCTATATTACGACAACACGATACACTACAGATTATTAACAAATTAACGAGACACAAAACAAACGACTAACAAATATATGAAAATACAATAATGAGAGAAACGCGCGATCAGTACGAGGCTTTGTGGCGGACTGCCGGCGCAGCAGCCCGGCGTCACCTGCGATAACGCGGCCGCGCGTTGGCTCCTGATTGGCGCGCGCACGCATCACGCAATCAGGAGCCAATCAGGCGCATAACGCATTTCGTGTGACATGCTAGTACGATTTTGGTCCCCATAATTTTCATACCCCGGGCCTATATATGTAAATCGATACTAAAGGAGTAAACTCCAAAAATCGCACTGAGCAAATTGGACCAACATGTTAATCGATACAAGTGGCTGTATGTACTTACAGGCTGCGAGTGTTGCAGTTCGTGTTTGAGAGCGTGTGCTGGTGGGGGCGGGGCGCGTTCCTCGGCATGTTCCAAGGCTGCACGAAGTCCTTCTCCTTCAGTCTGCGATACAAATACGTAAATTTGATTCTACCCTCCACCACTAGATGGCGCTATTATAAGACTTTTAATGGATTTGTTTTTAAAAATTAAAAGTATTAATAAGTATAGATCGACCCCATTTATGTAGAATCAGACAATATTAACAATAATTTCACGTTGTATGTTCATTTTTGTGTTATTATATCTATTGACAAAGTATACGGATTGTCTGACGCGAAAATACCACGACACCTTCAAAGCCGTGAGTGAAATATACGTCTATATTTTGTAGCCAAAATATACATTGTTTGAAAAAAGACATTGTAACGCTCCAACTGCTACCGAATACTTAGACTTACCGAATAGTAACTTAAAAACTTAACATATTAGTATATGTTATTACGACTATTTATTACAATTTTTGTTGAGTCTTTCCCAAGTGCCAGCTGCAAAGGCTATTTATTAACTAGCAATCCCCTGATTATATATAATTTACATTTATGTGTAGTATTCAATAGGAAAAACATCGAATGTATTGTTGTATTATTGTATTAATGTATGTATTTGTTGAACCATAATCAAAAAGCTTCATACATTTGTATAGAATACCTCGCTGGTTGTACGGCGGCTGGTGGTTTCCACTTCGGCTGTCTCGGTCTCACCTTCCGGAGCGTCGGTCACGGTTGTCGTTACGATTTCCTGTCAACAAAACCCTTAATCATGAACAATAAACTCAACTACCGATTAAAAAAAAATATTTTTTTCTTTTTCTTTTTTTTATTGCTTAGATGGGTGGACGAGCTTACAGCCCACCTGGTGTTAAGTGGTTACTGGAGCCCATAGACATTTACAAAGCAAATGCGCCACCCACCTTGAGATATAAGTTCAAAGGTCTCAGTATAGTTAAAACGGCTACCCCACCCTTCAAACCGAAACGCATTACTGCTTGACGGCAGAAATAGGCAGAATGGTGGTACCTACCCGTGCGGACTCACAAGAGGTCCTACCACCTGTAAATCCTTGTATTAATAATAATAATAATAGTAATAGTAATCATTCATTCCTTGTAATAAGTAGCGTCGTCATGTACTTCGACTGACTTATTCGACCTGTATCCACGCAATGCTTAGTGTAGGTCTCTTCATGTACACCCGATTCTTTTGTAATGTACTCACGGTAGTCGTAGTCTCCTGGGTGTAAGCGGCCCGTGTAGTGACGTCATGTACGGGAACTGGAGCGAGGGAGGGAAGCGGGGAGGGCGAGGCGGGGGCCGCGCTGGACGCGGGGGAGGCTGGCGCCGCGGAGGGGGCAACGCTGCTCGTCTCGCCCTCGCTTATTTCATTCGTTTCGTCATCGCTTTCTTCGCTATCCTTAACACCGTTGGATGTCTGCGATGATACAAGAACCGTTATCTATTTAATAATACGTAAAGCAAAAACTTTGGACCCCCTTTTACGAAAATTGCACAGACGGAGGAGTATAAAATTTCTCACACTTATAGAGAATGAGTGCAGAATGCTAATATTTTTTTTAACTTATGCATGAAAAATACACTAAATCAATAAAAAAAACATTGCACACCCATTTGTTTATTGTTACAGTCAGTGTCAAATTGAGAATAGATTAATATTTTTTGTCTATAGTCGTAGTTTTGGCGAGCTCTGTGATTAGGTATATAATATTATTATGTATAAGTACAGTTTTTGACAGTAAAACTATAAATATGTTCAAACTTATAATTTTAATTAATTATGGTCAAATTTCGGCCACTAGGTGACCCCTAGCTTATTTTAATTCCCTATCAACAAACACTAAGGTTTTGATAGATAACGTATTAGTGAAAAGAACTAACATTATGCATACTAAGAGCTAATGACTCAACTCAATAATACAGCAGATATCACAGAAAACGTCCCATTCACAGCTAGGAAAAAACGAATATCTAAAACTAGCTTCGTGCCATCTCTGCAACGCTTTTATAGTCGACACGACATCCCTAGATTTATCGAGAACATTCTGGTCAAGTCGAGTAACTTCGATGTTTGTTTCCGTTTTCTGACAATAGATGGCGTTGTACTTCTCGAGCTTTCTCCCAGTTACGTGTTCCTTTGATGTTCGTTTCGGATATTCTGCGATAGATGCCGTTACCGGCGTAACTATACCTTAGTCCTTTCATTCTGGATGTCCTGGCGCTGCTTGGCGCGCTGGTCTCTCTTGACACTGAGTTGTTCCCTGGCGGCCTGCTCCCTCTGGACTTCCGCCTCGATGCGGTCCAACAGCAGCTCCTCAGCCTCAGGAGTCATCGACATTAAAGACACGGCCATGTCATCTTTGGACTGCATTGACTGCAATTTGAATTTAGACGTTATTCATCTACATATTACATTTGAATCTTTCTTAATACAGTGAATGGGTATAATTAGATTGATTATTAAGTTGATATGTGATTTGTAAACGAACATGGCTACAATATTTGTTTTATGTATATTATTTGATTTTATACTTAAATAACATTATTATTTTTCATTTTGACCACATGACGAAATAATATAGATCAGTGATAAGAATATTATGCATATAAAATAAAATAGATATTTGTCATTGCTTAATGAATTTTTTTTTCTAAGTTATTCTTTACGAAATAACTAATACCACAGGTGATTTCGAACTTCGATTAAAATCATGTTAAGGTATAGGTAATACTCATAGAAAACTAATTTAAAACAACGATTAGAATTTCTTAGTATTACTTTTACACACAACTATACTGAGACCTTAGAACTGCTATCTCGAGGTGGGTGGCGCATTTGCGTCGTAGATGTCTATGGGCTCCAGTAACTACTTAACACCAGGTGGGCTGTGAGCTCGTCCACCCATCTAAGCAATAAAAAAATAAAAAACACAACTGAGATTGTTTTGATTCTGTTAAAATTTTTTAGTATTAGTGGGATTACCTGAACATAATCTTCAATAGCAGTTCCGATGCTTGCGTAGAGGTGGGGACGACGTCGGAGAGACGAGAGGGCTCGCTGGAGGGCACGGTCGGCATCCTGATTATTTAATGAAAAAACAAACTTTGTATTTGAACAAGGTTGTGTTTATTTTATGATTGAAGGATGACTGGTGGACCGGAGACCTTTCCAGTTTCACCAGGACAGGTGGGCGAGCGAAGGCTCAGCCAGGAGGGGTGGGATTTGCTAACAACGGCCCGAGCGCCTCCGAAGGAGACCTAAAAACTCAAGAGCAGCTGCTTCGCGAATGAATCTACTACCGGATCGGAATCGCGACCCGCTGAGAAGATCCGGCGAGAAACTCAGCGGGCTGATGCATGGGTTAGGTTGCACGTCGACCTCTTTGTCGAGTTCGACGAGTACGGTTACCGAGGTCCCTAAGTCTGCCCCTAGTATTACAGCGGAAGGCGTCATCGGTTATGTGTTGAGCATGTCATAATAGAACTAAAATTATATATATAGACTATATATGCACACGCATACAAACATGTATAGTGTTTTCAGTGTTACACACTATGTGGAAGTTCATCTGTATTGCGAAGACAATTGGAAGCGTCCGAAATACGTTTTCAGATGTATTCATTGTATTAAAAAAATTGTTAAAAAATGCCTTTCTGTATCTTCGTAGTGCTGCGGTCTTATCTTTCTACAAACGAGACTCGAAAGAAGCATTGGTAGTGGAGCCCACTGAGTTTCTCGTTGGATCTTCTTAGTGGGGCGCGTTTCCGATCCGGTGGTAGATTCTACGAAGCACGGTTCTTGCTAGGGTTCGTGTTAGCAACGTCGTCAGGTTTGAGCCCCGTGAGCTCACCTACTAGTTAAGGTTACGCTGAAATAGCATCTCAAGGCTTAGCCTAGGTAAGGAAAAAAAAGGCAGTGGACGGGCTGTTTCCTTAGCGATCACCACTATCGACAAACAGCTACTGCTTTCCTCCGATCGGGCCGTGGACTCTTTTGGCCTTTCAAAACCAAAATCTTTGGACTAGAATGAATGGAAAAGCCCTACCAAATAAAAATGATATCTCTTTAGCGCTCGTATACTATTCCATCATACCTGAAGTCGGTCAGCGGCACTGGCGCGTTCAGCTGAGGCAGCCTCCCTTCCAGCGGCTGCAGCGCGGCGCCACGCGGCCAGCGCTCCACTACGTTCGGCGGCTAGAGCACGCACCAATCGCTGCAGGCATTTCTGGACGCGGTGGGCCTGAACAGAACGCAAAATCTGATTAGACTTGTCAAATTATACAGTTTAACCGTATAGTGGTCCCCCGGTAGTCGAAATTCGACTATAATTAAATGAAATTATAAGTTTGTACACTATTATGATTCTATTGTCAAAGACTATTATATTATGTCTATAAGCATAAATTTCGCCAAGACTACAGTTTAGACAAATATTAATAAAGACATCATCATCAGCCTGTGTCTCTCCACTGCTGGATGTAGGCCTCTCCCATAGTCCGCCACAATGAACGATCCTCCGCCTTCCGCATCCAATCTCTCCCAGCATATCGCCGCAAGTCATCGGTCCAACGGGCAGGGGGACGCCCAACGCTGCGTTTACCGGTACGCGGTCTCCAGTCCAGAACACGTCTGCTCCATCGGCCATCGGTTCTGCGACACGTATGTCCGGCCCATTGCCACTTCAGCTTGCTAACCTTTAGGACTATGTCGGTTACTTTAGTTCTTTGACGAATTTCATCATTTCTGACTCGATCCATCAAAGAAACTCCGAGCATACACCTTTCCATAGCACGCTGAGCGACTTTGAGCTTACGGACCAAACCTACGGTTAATGTCCACGTTTCAGCGCCATATGTCATGACCGGCAGCACACAAGCGTTAAAAACTTTTGTCTTTAAGCATTGCGGGATTGCTGAGTTCAAGATGTGACGGAGTTTTCCATACGCAGCCCAGCCCAACTGTATGCGCCTATCAGCTTCCTTCTCAAAGTTGGCCCTGCCCAGCTGAATAATTTGGCCTAGATAGGTGTATTCAGACACAACTTCGAGTACCGCAGATTCGACTATTACCGGTCCAGGAATGATATGGTCGTTGAACATGACCTTAGTTTTGTCCAGATTCATTCCCAGGCCAACACGTCGTGACGCGGCATTGAGCTCACCTAGCATACAGCTGAGATCCTCCAGCGACTCTGCCATTATAACGATATCGTCCGCAAATCGGAGGTGTGAAAGATACTCGCCATTGACATTGATGCCCAGCTTACTCCAGTCCAGAGTCTTGAAGACATCCTCGAGAGCAGCAGTGAACAGCTTCGGCGATATAACGTCACCCTGTCGCACTCCTCTGTGAAGCTCAATCGGGTTTGTCTGCTGGTTTTGGATCTGGACTGTCATTTTGGCGGCTTTATATAAACTCTTCAACACCTCAACGTACCGATAATCGACTAGGCATCGCTGTAAGGATTCCAGAACAGCCCAAGTTTCGATGGAGTCGAAGGCTTTTTCGTAGTCCACAAACGCGAGACACAGAGGACGATTGTATTCTTCAGTCTTCTGAATAACCTGTCTCAGCGTGTGGATGTGGTCTACCGTACTGTAGCCTTTGCGAAACCCAGCCTGCTCCGGAGGTTGGAACTCGTCAAGTCTAGAGGCCAAGCGGTTTGTAAGGACTCTCGAGAACAGCTTATAAATATGGCTAAGAAGTGAAATAGGCCTGTAGTTCTTGAGCAGAGCACGGTCTCCCTTCTTAAAGAAAAGAATAACAGTACCCTTGCTCCAGGCTTCCGGTGTAGTCGTTTTTTGGATGACGGTGTTGAACGTTGTGCATAATTGGTTGAGAACTGGTGTACCACTTGCTTTCAACAATTCTGTACTAATTCCGTCATCCCCTGTAGCTCTGTTATTTCTAAGCTGTTCCAAAGCAGCCCTTATCTCCTCTATACTGACGTCGGGTATGTCTTCCGTACAGTGGCGGACTAAAGGGGCTCGGTGATCATTCTCTGGGTGGGCAATGGGTTTGGGAGCATGTGAGGCATAGAGACTACGGTAGTAGTTCTCCACTTCAGTGAGGACTTCTGATCTTGAGTTAACAATTCTTCCATCGGCAGTTTTGAGCTTCGTCAGATGGCTTCGGCCTAGTTGTTGCTGCCGTATAAACACTTTGGTGCCTTTGTTTTGTTCTATTTTGGCAATAGAACAAAATAATAAAGACAAACAATAATTAATCTATTCTCAATTTGACCACAGACTATAAACAATAAGAAAAGTTTGACAATAAACAAATAGTACGCATGCGTGTGTGTGTCAAATACATAGTAGGTGTGTAATGTTTTTATTTATTGATTTAATGTATTTTTATGAATAATTTAAAAAAATATTAACATTCTGCACTCCTTCTCTATATTCTCTATATGTGTGTGAAATTTCATACTCCTCTGTCCGCGCAATTTTCATAAAAAGGGGTACAAAGTTTTTGCTTCACGTATTAATATATAGATTTAATCATCATGGCCTAAAGGATAAGACCTCCGGTGCATTCGCGTTGATCGATGCACCTGTGTTCGAATCTCAGGCGGGTACCAATTTTCCTAATCTAATTTCAATTATTTTTTTGTTACTGCTTAAATGGGTGGACGAGCTCACAGCCCACCTGGTGTTAAGTGGTTACTGGAGCCCATAGACAACTACAACGTAAATGCGCCACCCACCTTGTGATATAAGTTCTAACATCTCAGTATAGTTACAACGGCTGCCCCACCCTTCAAACCGAAACGCATTGCTGCTTCACGGCAGAAATAGGCGGGGTGGTGGTACCTACCCGTGCGGACTCACAAGAGGTCCTCCCACCAGTAATTACGCAAATTATAATTTTGCGGGTTTGACTTTTATTACACGATGTGAATATTTGTTATGTACGTATTTCATTAGAAAAATTGGTACCTGCCTGCGGGATTTGAACACCGTTGCATCGCTAGAGACGAATGGACCGGACGTCTTATCCTTTAGGCCACGACGACTTCAAAAGCGGTTCACCCCTAGATATAGTTGAATATACTTACGTTAGGCGGTGTGTCCTTGAGCGAGCGGGTGTAGCAAGCGAGCGCGGTGCGGCGACGCTGGGCGAGGTGAGCGAGCACGCGCTGCTGGTGGAGAGCAGCCAGCCGACGCCGCTCCGATACACCCTCTTCCTCCAGAGACTGTTACACAGAAAAACAATGCAATTTAAAACATACAACAAAACAATGTAATCTAAAACATATAACACAGCAAAACAATGCTATCTAAAACATATAACACAACAAAACAATGCAATCTAAACGATATATCACAGCAAAACAATCCAATCTAAAATGTCGAGTTGTCGAAACTGAATATATATTTTCATCAAAATCTATTTAATCCATACTGTAAGGAATACTGTAGCTTTTTATTGAATGAATGTTGTTATTAAGAGTTTTTTAAATATGTAATTTCAAAGATCAAACAATTATACGTATTTGTAACTTCAATATCCGACAAGGTCATGTTTCTTGTTACGTTTTCGCGAGTTTTTAACAAATGAATAACACCATAATATACATAATAATATCATGTATAATTTAATCTTGTTTTTAATGAGTTGTCTAACAAATCACACATCCTAGCTTTTAAGTAAATCAGTCGTTTAGAAAGATGTGTTCGTTGAAATATTCGATTGCTTTAATTTCAAGAATTTGCACTATTTTTATTTATTACGACAATATTATCGTCAAGATGTCGATTAAAATTAGAATATGACGTCATTATTTACGTAATAACGAGAAAGCAGTCTACCCGGAACCTTGGCGCTTGACACAGCCGAAATATTTGGAAAATTAATAACTGTGAAAATCGTGGCAAGAACGCGGGGCGATTTTTTAAAGCAGTTCTTAACAAGAAAATATTTTGAGTCACATGAGGACTTACTTGAACGTTAGCCTGGAACTTGGCGGTCATCCGCTGGCGGAAGGTTTGGGCGGCGGCGGGGTCCGCGGTCATCATCTGCTGGTAACGGTCTTCCAGTTCCGACCATTCCTTCATCACCTTCGTGATCTAGTACAGGACAAGTCAAAGTAACATATTTAAGCAACTAGCACATAATGATTAGCTTATTTTGACCTAACATAAGTTCAATATATAGTACATTTCTTTTTTTTTTATTGCTTAGATGGGTGGACGAGCTCACAGTCCACCTGGTGTTAAGTGGTTACTAAAGCCCATAGACATCTACAACGTAAATGCGTCACCCACCTTGAGATATAAGTTCTAAGTATATTTACAACGGCTGCCAAACCCTTCAAACCGAAACGCATTACTGCTTCACGGCAGAAATAGGCAGGGCGGTGGTACCTACCCGCGCGGACTCACAAGAGGTCTTACCACCAGCAAATACATACAAAAACTATAACTGTTGTAACTATACTGAGACCTTAGAAATTATATCTCAAGGTGGGCGGCGGCATTTATGTTGTAGTCTACGGGCTCCGGTAACTATTTAACATCAGGTGGGCTGTGAGCTCGTCCATCCAACTAAGCAATAAAAAAATGACCTTGTAATATCGATATTTAATGATATTCGAATTATAAACCACGTTAGAACACAGCACGGCTAGACGCACCTTCTCACGGTGGGTCTCCTCCAAGCGTTGCTGGGCGTCCTTGTAGCTCTGGTGTTCAGTGCGAGGATCAAAGTGAGAGAAGTAAGGGTCAGAGGTAGCAGTAGAAGCCTGATGAAACGAATCAATTTTACTTAGTTATAGTTATTAACAGAATATGTTCTACATAACTAGTTATTATAGTTTCCGAAACCTTTGGTCGTTGTTTAGTTCTGATATTACGACAACATAAGATTGTGTTGTATTTTTTTAATTAAATAGATTTATTAATAATTACATACAATTAAAAAATTTATAATAATTAAACTCCTAAAAATTTCTTCAAAATTCTGAATTATATTCGGGAATCTGGAACATCCTATTGTAAATTTGATAGGAAAGTTGTGAAAAAGTAGTCGTTTATTCCGTGATTTCCCGATGAATTCATAATAGGATGATTGGATCTTCGATTCGATTGGAAAAAAGATCCAATTTAACGGCTAGCAGTGTCTTAGCTATCCATCCAATATATTCTATCCACTAAACTTACTTTCATAGATAGATTATAAAGCTTAACAACTCCTAAGTAATCACTGTTCCTATCAAAGATAAGTAATGCTAAAGACGCTACCCATCGCTAAATTAGAACACAGCTCAACCTGATCCAAAGAAGAAAGACACATATAACGCTGAGACCCAAAAAACTTCAAAATTGTATTCGACATACCGCGGTGGTAGTAGTAGTTGTGGTGGTGGGAGTGGTGGTCGACGGCGAGGACGAGGACTCGGGGTGGGGCCAGGCGCTGTCGTCGCCATCGGTATAGTCATCATCCTCCGCATCATCGTCGCGAGACAGATCAGCATCTTCGTCCTCGTCCATATCTGAAACAACGAGTTATAAAAATTTAAAATAAATTTCCCATAGCCTAATGAGCTTAATCATGATATATATTATACTATTTATTATATATACACTATCAAAGAGTGATAAATAATTATTTTATCAGCCACAATTACCCAGTAGATAATTTTTATAGCTCTAATTGTAGACCTAAAATCTTATGTTTTTCCAATCAAAATAGTGCTTCCGAGTACATATCTCCGATACACAATTAATAACATTAACGCAAATTTTACTATATAATCTTACTTTCCTTTCGTGTATCTTACAATTTGTTTATATGAAATAGAAAATTGTGTACAAATTCCACCATATTAGCTTTTTTTTTACTTTTTCTTCTTCCTGTTTCTTCTCATTACTGAAGGTTGTGCCTTCAAACAACTACGTTTATTGACTTTCTGTTGCTGTGCAACTATAATTATAAAAACAATAATACCTATTACTTGGTCATTTTATATTATACCTTTTTTTTATCTTTGTTAAATCTACTTTTAACCACATTGATGTCTATAACTACCAGAAACTAAAGAAATTATTATGTTCATTGCTATAATCAATCGCTGGTACTGATATGAAAATCTAATGCCGAGATTGGGAGTGTTAACAAAAAAATAGAAGATGGTGACTTACGCAATCTTTAAAGAAGGAGACGATATCCACTAAAAATATAAATTTAACTAAAGCCTATTTTGAGAATGACAATCACAGCACCTGTTTTTGGAACAACGTAGCGCTGTAATCACAATAGCTCACTCAAACCTAATATTCTATTCTCTACTTTATTTGTATTAGTTGCTAAATTGAATTTACCGTCATCGGTATCATCGTCGTCGTCATCGTCGCTCAGGTTGAGGGTGTCATCGTCATCATCATCATCCAGAGCATCGTCGTCGTCGAGCAGGTCGTCGTCACGTTCGTCCATAGCCGCGGAAGCTGCTAACATTTCCTCTCCGCCAGGACTTACGGGTACTCCTACGTCCATGGGTTTGTGCATTTTAACGTTTTCTGTAAATACAAAATATTTGAACATTTAAATTTGCAACTCAATGTTCAGAAACACTGAAATATCATTCTTTCAAAAGCTCTTGTACTTATTTATGCACCGACCGTTTGGTTTTTTTTTTCCTATCTATGCTGATAGCCTTGATAGGCTATTTCAGCTTCACCCTAACGTGTGTAGGTGAGCTCACGGGGCTCAAACCGGAGTGTTGCTAACACTGACCCTAGCAAGAGCAGTACTTCGCAGAATCTACCACCGGATCGGAAATGCGACCCACTGAGAAGATCCGGCAAGAATTCAGTGGGCGAGACCGTTTGGTAATGGGTTATATGTACATCTAAAAAAATAATTTATTATGTGTATGTAACTATATCGGAATATAAATCATATGGTGATTTCATATTGTGTTTAACGGTATATATCTATTTATTGTATGTATCTATTTTCTTTAATAATGTGTTGTTAATAGTAAGTACACCGCAACATACCTGCTGTATCTTTATCTGATATTTATAGTGATTATTTTTAATGTCTAACTGTAGCCGCTTAGATTCTTTTATTGCGTAACTCAGTGAAGAACCTTATGGCTATATCTAAGGACTCTTCACGATCTTTGTAAAAAAAAATTGAAACTATTATTAAATAGACGCATACCTTTGAAATGCTTGGGGCAGCAGACGAATTCGACTCCAGAAAACAGACTGATCCCGCAAGGCAACAGCATAGCGAAAGTCCTGAGTCGAAGTCCGCGTTGGGCACAAGCGCGACCAGCCGTCGCGTTCCACCGGGCGAACTGCCAGCATCGACTCTGGTTGTGGATGTGGTCGAACAGGCAGCTCTCGGGCACCAGCAGAGCGTCCGATTGGAATGGACCTTCTACCAAATACTCGTTGTAGTTACTTAGTACACAAAATTAACAAAGGAGAATTTGCAGATGCAAAAATGATCCCCGTTTAGAAAAAATAGTATAATGCTACAGCTGACTAAACATTAAATCGTAATTTTAATTAACGTTATTTGAGAAAATTAAATCTGTTTTCTTTCTAAAATTATAGACAGACAAAACAACACCGGCGAATCACTGTTTTACATGAAAAAAACCATGGTTTAACCATCGAAGTATATATGAAGCCATTTGTTGTTGAAGCAGATGTTCTCACATGAATAAACGAATAATATTGATGATGATCACAAGTTTTTTTTAACACATTTAATGCCAACCACCCGGCACCGTGAAGGCTTTGGAGACCGAACACACGGAGCCGGGGCTTGTAATTATTTTTCTTTGTATGCAGCAGTATGTACCATTTCCACCGTTGTGTTAATATGATGCGTCCGGACTGCACTGTGAGTCCGGACCCTCGATCCTCCACAGCGCAGTGTGTTCGGCATTAAATGCGTTAAAAGATAAAATATTTCCAGGCACACATACCGAGACAACGGAAAGGCTTCACCCATCTAGTGACCTTGCATTTGGCAGCGTTGGCGGTTCCCAGCTTGCACCAGTTGCTCACTTTCACGTAATGAGATGCTTCCACGATGTTCGTAATGTCATGACTCGGGTATACCTTAAATAGCAAATAATAACAATAGTTTTCTATCAGAAATATAATATTACAAGTCTTTATAAGTAAAGAATATTTGAAAATTAATGTTATTGAAAATTAATTTAAAAGTGGATCAAAATGCCGTCGCTTAAAGTACGTACTACTATAACTGTGACTTTAAATCTGAACATCGTTGTGACATCAGAGAGCGTAATATAACAAACAAGCCAACGGAGCTAGTAACAGAAGAAGCTTGGACCTTGATAGAGGACTGGAAAAAGAAATCTTACAAACATAGTATTGACGTTTCACACAAACCTAAAAATTTAAAATGATAAAACATCACAAAACACCTGCTATCAATTGCCTAGACCAGATACTAAAATTATTTATCTATACTTATACTTATAATATTATAAAGAGGAAAGATTTGTTTGTTTGTTTGTTTGTATTGAATAGGCTCCGAAACTACTGAACCGATTTAAACATTTCTTTCACTGTTGGGAAGCTACGCTATCCCCGGGTGACATAGGCTATATTTATAACATTTAAAAAAAATTAGGGATTCTTACTGATACTCCAATAATGTAACCCAATGTGTAAAAAAATTACCTAAAATTCTTAACATCGCGTGCGCTACTTCCTATGCGAAGCCGGGGTGGGCCGCTAGTATATAATACAAATAACAATGAGAAGACCCGAATTAGACTCACTGTATGGAGAAAAAAAATCAAAATCAAACTTAGATTTTATTACAAGACACTAATTCAGTTTGGATATCAGATAAAACCACTGAATATAAATAAATTACTGATGGTGAAGAAGAAACAATAAAACAATCAATGTTTGGAAGCTTTCAAAGCCAACAAGACGTAAATTACCTTAACGCAAATCTGAAAATAACTTTGGCATTAAAAGTTTCAAACTCATAAAATTCCACTTAAATAGATTCGAAATTAATGTGTCTGGTTGCTACATAAGTTTCGCTCAAGACAAAGGACACTTAAGAAAATAAATTGTCTGCTACATGATACCGATAATAAGATTAGATGGTGCTGCCAATTCGATTCGATAGGGAACAAGACTTTGAAATACAATAGTATGGTAATACAAGGGGATTGAAATTGAGCGTTAGCACTTTATCTTAGATTTTAAAATCGTTTAATCGGAGCTAAGCTTAAGAAACATTATAGACATGTATTAAAAAATATTCTATTACAGGCACAACCCGCGTCCACTGAAACCGCAGTGTTTAAAAGATTGGAATATAATTAAAAGTATTTACGGCTAAAGTTCGCGTTTTTTTATTGTCATTACATTATTTTCAATGATTAGAATATCATACAGTCTATGGTATAGGTCTAAAAATGCCTACGACATACGAAAACAGGAGGTAAAAGATTGGAAATTGTATTATGAATGGAACGACTCTGATATTAAATCGTAGAAGCAATTTAAATCACGAAATAAATGGACGAATGTTGTCTTCGTTTACCTTTGACGTAAACACGAATCAACCAATCAAAGCAAACCAGTAAAATCGTTTTCCGGTAAATTAGAAGAGAACTCTGCGAGATAACGTTGTTATCTGAGAGAATTTTCACGGAATTATCCGGTTACGAACTAGGATCGGAAACTATAACGACATTTTACATATGTGTTGATATTAAAATTGACAAGGACGTAGTCAAAACGTTTTGTATAGATTTCTGTTCCCTTTTGATTAAAACTTAATTTTTTACTGGTAGTAGGACGTATTGTAAACCCACGGTTAAGATCCACATTCCTAGTATGAAGTAGTAGGCAGTTAGTTTTTCAGTTTTATTTGAACGTAAAAATGTCAGCAAGCGACGTCCGCCATGACACTAAACTCTTTTCAAATCCAACCGTCAAAAGCAACGCATCAATTTTATAGTTTTTTTTTATATTAAGTCGTTATTTTGTAATATAAAAAAGATTCAATAAATATTTCATACAAAAAATACAGTCCACGCTCAATTACCACAACGCAACACACGTTCTGATTCATCATCAGCCTATAGCAGTCCACTGCTGGACATAGGCCTCTCCAATTGTTCGCCACTGAGCACGATCCTCAGCTTCTTTCGACGTTCTGATTAGAATATTGGAATACCCGTTATCAGAGGCATTCAGGGGTGATGTGTTTAGACTTAGGAGAACCACCTAGCCCCAGATGGGTCGTCAGCTCAGTAACAGTAAGTTAATGCGAACGAGCAGTAGAGAAGTAATAAAAAAAAATGTTCAAGGGCCATCCCCCATGTTAATAGTAGGTTAAGTAGTGTAATTGTTTAATGTATATTGTGAGTAAAATTATTTCCTTACATTACAAGTTAGATTGGTTTTCGTTATCGTATTGTTTTGTTGTTTATTTGTAAGGATCATTGTGTACAGATTCAGCACATTTGCCTTGCTTAGTCATGCGCACATGGCTTATGTTGCAAATCAGATTTTGTTTTTTTTACTTGTTGTTATTTTGGTGTATCTTTTTATCTTGTAACGTGTTTTGTGTGCCTAATATATCTCTATATATAAAAATGAATTGCTGTTCGTTAGTCTTGCTAAAACTCGAGAACGGCTGAACCGATTTGGCTAATTTTGGTCTTGAATTATTTGTGAAAGTCCAGAGAAGGTTTAAAAGGTAGGTAAATATGAAAATGCTTGGAATTAAATAAAAATAACAATTTCGTTTTCCCTTTGATATGTCCTCCGACGAACGGATTTCTTTTGTTTGTTTTAAGTTTATTTTATACAAAAGTTTAGGTCTTTTATTTGTCGATTGAGGCACTACGAAGTATGCCGGGTCGGCTAGTAAATAAATAAAAAGTAAAACTCAATACCTTTTTGCAGTAGTCGAGGATCTCCATTTTGTCCTTGAGGCAGTTATGCGGTTTCGTGGTCAGATCGGGAGTCCACCGTCCGGCAGCTGACATGTACTGCGGGTGGTACGTGCTTCCTGCCTCGCATAGCACTGCTACTTGAGGATCAGCGCCATTTGTCGCCTGAAACAAATGATTCGATTAGTCTTAATGTGATTGCACGCATCTTACTAAATAAGCACTCGAGAAAATTACTTTTCTACATACTGGTGGTAGGACCTCTTGTGAGTCCGCACGGGTAGGTACCACCACCCCGCCAATTTTTGCCGTGAAGCAGTAATACGTTTCGGTTTGAAGGGTGGGGTAGCAGTTGTAACTATACTGAGACCTTAGATCTTATATCTCAAGGTGGGTGGCGCATTTACATTGTAGATGTCTATGGGCTCCGGTAACCACTTAACACCAGGTGGGCTGTGAGCTCGTCCACCCATCAAAGCAATAAAAAAAATATAATGAGAGAGAGAGCGAGAGTATTCTTTATTGTACACCCAGCAAAAAGTAAACAATGCGAAACATAAAACACAAAAAAAGTACAATTGACGGTCTTATCGCTAATAGCGATCTCTTCCAGACAGCCATCAGGGGGATAATAATCATTTAATTTAATGATATATTTTCGACAAAGAAAACTTCATTAGTCTCACTTTAGTCTCAACTTTTGAAGTCTTTGAGTACATTCTCAGTTTTACAGATGTCATCAATTTCGATAAATATCAAGGTGTTTAGATTTGCGTGGAAATACTCTGACAGTAGATTATTATTACACGAATTTCCTTCCAGTTTCAAAAATTAGAAATTAAGAACATTTACAACGGCACAAGATCCAAACACACAGAAAACAAACCATTAGTATTTAAGAATATAAAATAGATCCATTCGTTCTCATCAAACTCAAAAATATTATATTTATATTTATATTAGCGCAGTGCATCCAAATATCTATGCTAATATTATAAAGAGAAAAGATTTGTTTGTTTGTATTGAATAGGCTCCGAAACTACTGAACCAATTTAAAAAAATCTTTCACTCTTTTGGAAGCTACACTATTCCCGAGTGACAGGCTATAATCTATTTTGAAAAAAATTTGGGATCCTTACTAAAAATCCAATAATGGAACCCAAGGTGTAAAAAAATTACCTAAAATATTCTTTACATCGGGTGCCCTGCGAAAACTATTAACGACTTTGTAGAACATAACTATTACAGTTATGCCGCAATAAGTGTTCTTTTATTTAAAAAAATAAAACAACGTCAAATATCGTTGAAATTTTTGTTAAAGACCCGAGCGGAGCCGGAGCGGGCCGCTTGTGTACAATAAAAATGTATTTTACACAATACACCAGACAATACATTGAATACAAAAGTATCTACTACACAAGAATCCAAATGTGAACAAGGTTCACAGGTGAAATATTATCTCGGTTCGTAGACACAATAGTGCGTCTAGACTATTCCAGGGGATCGTCTAGCCAGCATCGAGATAAACATGTCTGTGATCTGGGAAAAGGTCATTGTCCTTCAAACACATTGATCATTGATATGCGACATCCTTTTGAAAAATAGGATAACCTTTTTTTTCCGATCAGTGATCTTTGACCTATGCATGTTTACAAGTCAATGCTTATATTGTGTGCCAACATAAAACCATTTGGCGGTGAAGTTCCATTGCCCATCTAAAACTAACTAATCCAAAGGTTTTTTAATACCAACTCAAAGAACTCGGTATTAATGGCCGACTTTCGTCAACTGCACACCTACGGGTTTTCAAGTTCTTTGGTCACGTCTCCAAAAAAGAGAAATCGAAGAAAGAGACTGATAGTTCAAGGCTGGGTGGAAGGTAAGAGATCACGCAGCCGATCACCAACCCGCGGACTGACCTAATCCAGAAAGCAACCGAGTCCACCATAGCCCAATGTGCTCGAAATGCTTCGGACCGCCAGATATGGAAGCGCATCGCCTATAAGTCAATTCTCGAAAGCTTGGGTGGCCTAATGAATACTTCTGCATGTACAGCGTCAACGCAATCACAAAGACTCTGACAAGAGTGTCCGACTAAAAAGAAAAATGAAGCAGAAATTATTGTGTTATGTGCTTTTTTTTCCTCCTACCCAAACTGATAGCCTTGAGAGGCTATTTCAGCGTAACCTAAGCGTAAACTAATAGGTGAGCTCACGGGGCTCAAACCTGACGACGTTGCTAACACGAACCCTAGCAAGAGCCGTGCTTCGCAGAATCTACCACCGGATCGGAAACGCGACCCACTGAGAAGATCCGGCGAGAAACTCAGTGTTATATGCAATGGTATAGCATTCTATGAGAGAATAAACATATAATAACAATGTTTCTATTTATTTATTAACGATTAGCTGATGAAAAATCTGCGTTGCATCGTGAGCATCTTCTTTTGCAGTCAATAAAGTCAAGATTTGATGTTACTCTTATTTTTCATTAGAACCCTAAAAAATAATTTATGCAACACTTTTGTTATAGTAACATTTGACTTAGGCGACGTTTAGAGTAATCAATATGAATCATGCGTCAACCCTACTACTGCATGTTTAAAGTTCATTGCACTTTGAGAGGGCAAACCTTCAGCTATATTATTACCCCTTACAAAACTATAAACTTCACTTTCATATTCACGCTTAATGGGAACTTTGTAAACAAAGCGCGCCCTGTTATGGTAACAAATACTATCTATATTTTTCCTACCTATGCTCGTAGCCTCGAGGAGCTATCCTAACTTCACTGGACGTGTAGGAGATCTCACGGGGCTCAGCCTAGCGACTTTGCTAACACTAGCTAGACAAGAGCAAAGCATTTTCTGGTGGTAGGACCTCTTGTGAGTCCGCACGGGTAGGTGCTGCCTATTTCTGCCGTGAAACAGTAATGCGTTTCGGTTTGAAGGGTGAGGCAGCCGTTGTAACCATACTGAGACCTTAGAACTCATATCTCAAGGGGGGTGGCGGCATTTACGTTGTAGATGTCTATGGGCTCCGGTAGCCACTTAATACCAGGTGGACTGTGAGCTCGTCTAATCACCTATGCAATAAAAAAAAAAAAGTGCTTTGTTGAACCTACTACCGGATTGGAATCGCAATCCACTGAAAAGATTCGGCGAAAAAGTCAGTGGACTGAAAACGTCCTATTGTCAAAAGAGTATTACAAATACTCATATAATTACTGGCTATTATTGAATCGTTTCAGCTGGTGCAATTGGAGTAAGATGGATTTAATCCTTCAATATTAATTTTTGTTAGACTCCTTTTCTTATTTTTCACTTCAATATTTAGTCATTAATTAGCATTATGTAGGATGAAAGGCGATTGCATGCAGCAAATTGTGAGATGGATGTGTGGATTAACAAGAATAAATAGAATACGGAATGAATATGTTAGAGGAAGTCTGAAAGTGGCACCTGTGACAGAGAAGCTGAGAGGTGCGCGTTTGGGATGGTATGGACGTGTGTAGAGACGAAATGAAAATGAGGTTGGTAAAAAAATGCTAACTATGAATGTGGAAGGATATAGAGGAAGAGGTAGACCTAAGAAGAAATGGATGGATTGCGTTAAAGACGAATATGGGTAAGAGGGGAGTGAGCGAAGAAATGGTATATGATAGAAGAGTATGAAGGAGAAAACATGTTGCGCCGACCCCAGGTGACTGGGAGAAAGACAGGATAATGATGATGATGATGATAGCATTATGTAGTTAATAAGATGTGCACTAAATAAGCTAGAAATACTTGCCAATACATTAAAGTAAAATAATGATCAAACGAAAAGAAAAAAAAAGAAAAACACCTCCACTTCTGTAAATTCTTATTAATTCTTGTTTCGTTTCTCAAGTAATTACCACATTAATTATCTTTAAAGACGTTTTTGAAATTTTGTTCTTTTAGAAGTTTCATTAAGACCCTTTGATGTCTTGAAGAAATCGTGGTGTAATTAAAACTTGTGTTATAACCAATATTACGATTAATTTGGATTCCGTCTCTAGATCTGAAAGTATAGTCTGAAAATAATCATAGACAATTAAAAAAGAAGCAATAAAATTTTTTATTTTTTTTTATTTGCTTAGATGGGTGGACGAGCTCACGGCCCAGCTAGTGTTAAGTGGTTTCCGGAGCCCATAGACATTTACAATTGCCGCCACCCACCTCGAGATATTGGTTATGAGCTCTTCATGTTTACAATATAACGGCTTCCTCACCCATCAAATCGAAACGTATTACTGATTCAGGGCCGTAATAGGCAGGGTGGTGGTACCTACCCGTGCGGGCCCACAAGTCGTCCTACCAGTAATTACGCAAATTATAATTCTGCAAGCAATGTAGCTGACTGATAACGCTGCGTCATACCACCACACCAACCGAAAAGTATTGCGACGCAACATTAGAAAGAAGTATTATATTTACCTTCATGTTATATTCTTTAATTTTAGAAAGCACTACTGTTTGACAAGATTTATTATTTATTGCCTTAGTCTTTTCATTGAGGATAATTTGAAGATCGGTTATCTATATAAACTTTGTATCCCTTTTTACGAAAATTGTGCGGACGGAGGAGTATGAAATTCCGCACACTTATAGAGAATATAGAGAAGGAGTGCAGAATGTTAATATTTTTTTTAAATTATGCATAAAATACATTAAAAATACATTAAAATACATAAAATACAAATACATAAAATACATAAAATACATTAAAATCAATAAAAAAATATTACACACACTACCATGTATTTGACGCACACACGCATGCATACTATTTATTTATTGTCAAACTTTTGTTCTTGACGTCTGTGGTCAAATTGAGAATAGATTAAATATTGTTTGTCTTTATTAATATTTTTCTATTATTTTCTTGGCGAAATTTTTGATTATAGAAGTATAATAGTCTTTGAAAATAGAATCATAATAGTGTACAAACTTTTAATTACAATTAATTATAGTCGAATTTCGACTACCGAACGACCACTAGTCTTTATAATATTCCTTAAAATCCTAATTATAAAGCTGATTGCAATACGGGACAAAGCTAGTGTAACGTATTTGAAATCTAAGTTTTTTTTTATTGCCCTCGTAGGCAGACGAGCACACGGCCCACCTGATGGTGAGTGGT